TGCCCCATTTCCCAGCGACCGCCGCGCCGCCATGAGAACTGTCGTACCACCGCCACTACTGCGGCGGATGCGTGACCTCTCCCATCCCTGTCCTGTGCTGTTTCTGCTACCACCCTCCCCCCTTCCAGCCAAGCTCGGGTTTCAAGCTCGGAGACGGGCGCGGCTGGCGGCTCTTAGTGCGGGTGCGCGTGCTGCCTCCAACTCCTCATCCCCCTCCTCCTCCTCTCCTCATCCCCCCTCCTCTTCCTCCTCATCCTCCTCTATCGGCCCAGCCCCGATCGCCGCTCAGCTCTCCTGGTGCGGCTGGCGGCAGAAGTGCCGAATGCTGCCTGGGATGTCCTTCGCCGTCTTCTTCGACATCTCAAGCATCATCTTGCCCTTCTCCTCGGTGCGGCGCGCCTCCTCCATCATCTGCCGCGCCTGGTCGACGAGCATCTGGCCCTTGACTCCAACGGCGCGCGCATGGCGGCAGCGATTGCGCCACCCGATGAACCGCACCACCGTGGTCGCCCAGCTCCAAGCACTGCCATCCGTCGCGATGAGCTCGAAGTCATCGACGTCGCACTTGCCCGCGATGCTCGCCATAGCGGCGCAAGACCGCGAAGGGGCCTCCTCTGGCAGTCCCCGCTGCTGCGGAGACTTCGGCAGAGGCCCCTGCGCGGTTCCGTCGCGGAGGCGGGCGGGCGCGGCGGGAGGCAGACCTGCAACGGCTGCGGGCTCACTTTATCGCATTGCCATCCCTCCCTGCGCTCACATGGCTTTTCCCCTTGCGCCAGTCTGCTGCTCCCACTTCTGAACTACCTCATCCCTTCTACCTCCACCTGCACCCTCCTCTTCCTGTTCAATCCTCCCTCCTCCCTCCACCGTGCTCATTTCTCCTTACTCCCTTCTCTGCTCCTCCTACGTGGGGCGTTTCACGACAACGACGAGGACGATGACCACGACGGCGACAACGAGGACGACGACGACCACGACGACGACGACGAGGACGATGACCACGACGGCGACCAGCGACGACGACTAGCGACGACGACGACCGACGACGACGACGCCGACCACGACGACGACGGCGACGACGACAACGAGCGACGACGACGACGACAATCGACGCCGACGAGGAACGACGACGACGAACGAGGACGACGATTACGACGACGAGATGACGAAGGTTCGAAGATCGAACCTCGAAGTGCGAAGCTTCGAAATTCAAACTTCGATCTTCGAGCTCCGAACTTCAAACTTCGAACTGCGAACTTCGATGGGGTGCCAGGGATGCAATGGGATTGAGGGAAAATAGGAAGGAGAGAGCGAGGAAGCGGGAGAGGAAGTTGGAGGAGAACGAACAGGCGTGGAACGACGAGGAACGGGCGGCGAGGAGCCGACGTTGAGGGCGGCGGGATGGGGGGACAGGGAGGAGAGGGAAGACTTCAGAACGAAGATCGCGCCACGGCGCCTGCGCGCGCGCCCCCGATCTCGGCGGCCGACGCGCGCGTCCCTGCCGAAATGCAACGCGCCCTTCATTCGAGCCCCGCTGCTGCGGAGCCACCTACTCCGCAACCAAATCGTCTGGGGAGCTGTTCGCTATTTGCTGTCCATCCCCAAACTACTGGTTTGCCAGCCGCTGCTGCGGACGCCGAGGGCCCGGCGCTGGACGCCGCGGCCCCGCTGATGCGGGGCCCCCGAGGAGGCGTCGGCCCCCCCTTCTCTCTGGCGGCGTCGAACTTGACCTTGCGCTCCACACCGAGGTCCTTGTGCCAGCGATCGGTTCCTGACCCGTCGCTCCCGCCCAAACCCGCGGCTGGTGGCCTCACCGTGTCCGCGCGGGGCATGAGGGGCAGTGCTTCGACCTTCCTGTCGCCCCAGCGCGGGTGCAAGCGGACGCCTGCCCCGTCGTCGCGGTGCAACACGAAATCCCACATCGGCAGCTTCACTTTCACCCGCTGCCCCGCGAACTGTCGCGCGCGCACAATACTCTGGCGCATGTGGTCGTAGCTGTTTGGCCGGACTTCGAGGGAACAGCCGATCAGAGCCCCGCTGCTGCGGGCCCCCCCCCACGACCTCCCTGAAATCTTCCTCCCTGAGCGTCGCCACCATCTCTTGCCGCCGCCAAGGGACTTCCTCGTCGCTTCTGAAACCAAAGCTCGTTCTCGCACCGTGGTCGCAAACAGCGACCATGGTGGGCTCCGCATTGTCAAACCACTTGGCTTCTGACTCGAACGGGGCAGTTGGGTCTTCATTCAGGTGGCGCCACCATTTCAACGCTTGGTTGTTTGTGCTGCTTAAACGAAGTGCCGAGCCTCTCTTCATAACTCAAAAAAATAATTAACATCAAACTTCTCAAAATCCTGGGGCCCGCGCGCCGCCGCCGCTGCGGTGGCGCGGGGCTCCTGCGCCGCAGGCGCGGCTCGGGATCCCGACCCCTCCCCTGAAATTGTGCCCCCAGGTTCTGGTGAGTTTCGGAGGGCAGCCCTCGCGAAATTATCGAATTCGGGCATGCCGAGACCAGGGGCGCGGGGGCTCACAACGCTAAGCGCGGCGAAGCGGGACGGCCGTTGAGGCGAGACCGCCGCCGCTGCTGCGGCGGCAGGGCCATCGCGCCATTCGGCGCCCTCCGTTGGCGTGTTCCCGTCTTGTCGCCACTCTCTCCAACCCCACGCTGACCAACCATGGCCGCCCCCCATGCCACGCCAGCCGCTGCTGCGGCTATCCCACCATCCTTCCGCGCCACCCCATGTGTATCCGCCTGCATCGCCCATTGCAAGACGATGGCGCAGGCGCGCGTTAGGCCGCGACGGGCCCGGCTGCACCGTTGCTCGCGGGCGATCCCACGGGCGCGGGATGGTTTGAGCATAGCGGCGAGGGACGACGCGATGTGATTGGACGGCAGAGAACTTGAAAGGAAGGGGGGTTGGAAACGGAAGAACGAAGTGGACAGAGAGCGGAAATCGAACCAGAGGGGGGAGAAAAAATAGCGGAAGAGAATGAGGACATGCAGACGAAGGAGAGTGACGAGGTAGATGGCGGGGCAGAACGGCAATGGAGGATAATGCGGTGGAAATTGTGAAAAGGACGCATGGAAAAACACGACGAGGATCACAGACGCAAAGATGATGAGCGCAGTGGTAGCACGACATATCCGAAATCAAGAAGCAGGATGAGGAGGAACGGGATGACGAGCAACTCTGTCACAGAGGGCCTCCAAACGCACCCCCTCTGTCACAAAGGGCCTCCAAACGCACCCCCTCTGTCACAGAGGGCCTCCAAACGCACCCCCTCTGCCACAGAGGGGCAAAATGATCACTTTAATGCGGCTTCTGGATTATTTGTTTGAGCATGCCTAACTTCTCTCCCAGAATCCGCCTGTAGGGGGACATGCCCGACCCAACGTCAGTGGAGCTCTCACGCGCAGCACACCGCGCCCTCGCCCTTCGCCGGCGGAGCAGCCCTCGCCGCCCTCCTCTCCCTGTGCGGGCCACCAGGCAGGCCGACGCAGCAGAAGGGCGGGCCGGGCAGGGAGAGAGAGAGAGAGAGAGAGAGAGAGAGAGAGACAGAGAGAGAGAGAGAGAGAGAGAGAGAGAGAGGCCGCGGGCCGGGCAGGGCTCGGGGAGCCCCGAGCAGGAGCCCGCCTAGAGAGCCTGCGGGCCCGGTGCTCTCTCTGCTTCGTGCCGAGAGGAGGCCTGCGGGCACCTCTCTCTCTCTCTCGCTGTCTTGGGCGGCGGCGCCGGTGCGAGGGGGCGAAGGCGATGCAGTCAGAGCGCTGGGCTCCCGTCAGAGGTGCCCAGGCTGGCCGCGGCGACGCGAGAGCCCCCTGCGTTCCTTGCCGGGCGCCCCCTGTCGTGCAGCGCGGTGCCCGCATGCCCCCAGAACCCGCTTCGGGCGGAGGACGGCGCGGATCGATGAGGAAAAAGAAGAAGAAGCAGACACTTTTGGCACTCCGCGCGGACTTCTTGGGTCCGCGCGGGTGGCGCGTCCGGCGCCGCCCCTGGCGCGACGCAGGTCCCGGCGCAGATCCCAGAAGTCCGCGCGGAGCGCCAAGAGCCTCTGCTTGTGGCGTCTTTGTCTTTTCGTCTACCCGAGTCCGGGCGGATGGCGCGCGAGCGCCGGCGCGCCCGGCTTTGGCGGCGCCGGAGAGTCCAGTGAGGAAATACCGCCCAGACCCGACCAATGGCGTTTACCAAACGGCCCTGGGCGCTCCCCATAGACCGCCCTGTCCCGTTCGATTCCCTCTTCGGGTGCGTGTACTGGACGGCTTCGCGTGTCGGGGTGGCTCTTCTCGGGGTGGATTTCCTGCCCTCTGCAGAGGCTCGTCACCGACCTCGGCTCGGCCGTGCGCGGGCGGCCCTGCGCTGGTGCTTGCCGCGGCCACGGCCGGGGAAGCGCGGGCTGCCGCGCCCGCCAGCGGCTGCCGCCTGCCCGGCGCAGGGCGCCTGCTGCTTTCTCTTAAGCCACCGTTCCGACCGGCCGGCCGCCCGCGGGGAGCGGCCAGCAGGAGGAGGGGGAGGAGGAGGAGGAGGAGGAGGAGGAGGAGGAGGAGGAGGAGGAGGAGGAGGAGGAGGAGGAGGGACGAGGAGCAGCGGTTCGCCGCCCTCTCTGGCTCTTCCGCTTCGTGTCCCCGTTTCTCAAGAGCAAGTTCCCAAGGTCACCCTTGCGTCCTCCCCTTTCGGCCCATCCTTGGAGCGCTCTCGCTGGCCGCGCCCCGCTCGCAGAGTGTCGACATGGCCCTCTGAGGCCCTTGCGTCCTTGCAGCGCGTCCTCATCCTACGAGTTTTCGGTCGGGCGTGTCCCTCTCCAAAATTGGTCAAACACATAGATTGGGGACGTGTATTTGTCCTTCTTTTTTGTGTAGATGTTTTCAGCATTTTGGAGTCATGGTTTTACTTTTTGTATTTTTTGACAACATCCGCCTGTAGGAGGACACGCTCGACCTAATACGAGTTGACTGTGGTCCTCTCCGCGCCCGCGTCCTTGCCTGGCGCGCGCGCGTGCGCGCGCGGGCGGAGGCCGCGGGCTTCGGCTCCGACGACCTCTTCGGCTCGAAGGCGCCGCCCTCGCCTCGCCTCCAGCTGGTGCCGCCGCCGCCCTCGAGCAGCCCCTAGATGATCTCTTATATGTAGTTCGGGCCCCCCTCGAGCTGCTGCTGCTGCCGCCCTCGGGCCGCTCCCCTCCCTTCCCTCGAAGAAGAACTGACAGCATGAACATCAACTTTGGGCGCTCCGCGCGGATTTTGGATCTGCGCGCTGGGCACCCCCCCAGGCGGCGCCTCCAGCGCCGCTCCAGGCGCGTTCCGCGCGCCAGGGAGGGGGTTCCAGCGCAGATCCAAGAAATCCGCGCGGAGCGCCAACAGTTTCAGTGTACGCAGTTTTTTCTTGTTCCATCATCCCCCGCCGCCCGCACGTCCTCTGCTTGGGTGGCGACCCCTGGGAACCTTGTGTCTCGAACTTCTGCCAGGTCTTAGTCGGCACGTTCGAGCTACCAGATGCTGAGCCCCATGGTGGCGAAGCTTCAGATCATCCAATGCATGTTGTTACCATTGAGAAATGGAGCTGCATCGCGTTCCAATGTCTGTCACCGTGGAAGGCCGTGATCATGCCCGCCAGCACGCCTGGGAGCGCAGACGACGTGAGAGTTACGATTACGATGAAACCGAAATGGCTGAGGCGCAATACTTGTTTTCATGCAGCTGTTGGACATGTATGGTACTGATGTTCAGTGGTCTATCCAGTTTTATCAGTTCCAGCAGTCTGCGGCAATGAAGGGTGCATTTGTGCCTGCGGTGCAACTGGCCAAGCGACGTGAGGGCGATGCTGTATCTTTCTGGAATGGGGAGGGCGATGTTGGCAAGCTTGGGAACTTCTTCCGCGGAAAGGCCCGCAGAGATCACGTGCCAGATGAGCCCGAGGGCGACAGCGACGACGACGGCGGAGGTGATCGCGGCGCAGGCGGGGACGGCCGAGATAGCGACGACGCGCAGGGCGGCCAAAGCGGCGTGGATCTGATGGACGACGCCGTCATGTTCGATGGCCCCGACTGGGCTGGGGACGGAGGCGGCGGCGACGACCCCGATGCCATCGGCGGGCGCCCGACGCCAGAGGCGTCAGAGGATGACGTCGAGGAAGAGCCTGACATGGGCGACGATGGCGGTGCACCAGGCGGCGGACACATACCCGTTGGCGGGCCCCGCGTTCCCGCTGACGTCACGGCTCGTTTTCCACGCGGTGCGATTTCTCCGCTCTTGCTTCCGAAGCCCCGTTTTTGTTGCGATGTGCCCGTGCGGGCATGTCAATGCAGTCGGGAGAGCAGTGCTGTGCTCGGGAAGCGGCCTGCCCAAGGACTGCCCTTTGGTTTCCTGATGGCGTTCCGGCAGGATGGCCCCAACCACGCGTCGAAGGGCGAACACGTGATCAATGCGATCTACACCCAGGCTGCTCGCTTAGTTGCGCGGCGTCGCTTGATTGCCACCGCGGACCCCGACGTTCAGGAGTTGCTCCGCGCGGAGAGGCCCCAGCTGCCAGACGAACCGCTTGAGCCGACCCACCAGCCGTAATCCTGGGCCGTCTGCGCGTTGGACGCAAGGCCAGGCCCTGGCAGTTTGCCCGCCGAGAGCGAAACATGCGACATTGACGGTGCGGAGTTGGCGTCCGTCACGCGGTGAACAAATGATGAACCAGACCCTGGGATGTTGATTCTGTTATCCCGTGAAAGTGGCGAGGGCGCATCGTGCGCACCCCTAATTTTACCACGGCCGCGTTCCCTCTTTATCGTCACCCTGGATTCTTCATTCAATCGCTCTCGCCGGCTGCCCCACGACAAAGTCGCATTGCAGTCTGGAGTTGCGATCGCGCCCAGGGTCCTTGGAGCCATGCTGCAGAGAGTACAGGGCGCCTTTGCACGGAAAGGATGGCAGGCTGGAGGAGGAAGGGGGATTGGGAAGGGAAGACTGGCAAGCTCGACGCGATTTGCTTCTGAGGTCCAGAACGCGGAGAGGGATGCGCTGGCAAGGGTAGGCGATTTTGGGCGTTGGCGCTGGGAGGCGCGGGAGATGGTGTTGGTCTAAAGACGCCTACCAGCCGTAGTATTGGTCTTGGGCGCGCGTCGCCATGGCGCACGACTTTCGGGCCAAACCAGCTGCCCTGACGAGAGGCGCTGCCATCGCTGAGCGCGGCCCCCAGGGAGACCCACGCGTGCCCGAGGGCGGCCGGCAGGGCCCGAGCAGGCCCCCAGTGGCCCAGGAAGCCCCCAAGACGCTCCCTAGAGACCCCGATGAAGACCGCGCGTGCATCACGCCTCTGATTGCGTTGCGCTGCCGCGCTGCAATGATGCATTGGCGTCGTCGTTGCCCCTTCCTCTGGGCGTCGCGCGATCCATCGCTCGGGCTGTCGTGGCAAGATTGTGCGTTAGGCATTTCACAGGGCACTTTGGGTGAACATGTACGTGCGTAGTTTTGAGCAGTGCTATCTGAACACCAGACAAGGCATGAGCGTTTGACGCGTGCGTATCCATATAATATGTGCATATATGTATATATAGATTGTTAAGCAGATTCTTGCGCAGTACGGAGGCCTGCGTTGACGCCTAAAGCTTTGGGCGCGCTGACCTTATAACTTGCGTTATGAACGTTCGGCTGTTCCGTGCTTGCCAACTGCGATCGCTTGCGACATCGCTGCGCACGCAGGGCAGCCGCGGACTGGTTAAATAAATATGCGCTCCTGCGCGCTGAGGTTTTCGCAGATGCTCGCCGCGCTGCTTGGGCCACCTGGCAGACGGCGGCGCCACCGGGCTCTTGCGAGAGTGGTCCAGGCAGGGGCGGTGCACGCCGCGCGCATGAACAACCCTTGCGCGAACCGAATGTTGACGGCGATGCCCAGCGCACGGGGCGAGGCAGAGCCATGGCGTGAGTGCGCCAACGTACGGTGCCATGCGCATGGCCGACCTGCGCGACCAAGCCCACGCCCGCGCCAGCGAACTTGCAACACTCGGCGATGCGCAGGCGCACCAACGCCCGCGCCCGCGCCCGAACCAAACGCCGATCGCACTGGATCGGGCGCGCGCATGCACGCACGCAGCGTGGTCAAGACCTGGCGCGCGCTCAGAGTGGGCCCCGCGCCCGATCACGGCCGGGCGCCAAGCCCAGCTCGCGCGCGTATCCAGGCGCCGCGTTTGGCCGCGAGCGCTAGTGCGCGCGCGCCGAGACACGGCGCCACGCCAGCAAGAGGACGGCTGCCATCTGGACGCCCCCGCCGCTGCCGCCTGGCAGCGGAGGGCCTCCTTTGACATCTGTCAGGCGGCGCTGCCGCCCGACGTGCGTCGGCGCTGCTGCATGGCAAGGTCCCACTAACATTTGGCAGGTCCCACTGGCATCTGGCAGGCATCGCTGCCAAGCGACAACGTTGTTCTGCACTCGGTGTCAGCTACGGTCGTCATGCAAGAAAACCGAACGCGCTGCGAACCCCGACGCATTTGCCAAACGCACTCAGATGGAAGGGGCCCGCGCCCGCGCCCAAGCCAACTCGCGCGCGCGGGCCTCAATGCCAGCGCCAGCCAAACGCCGATCTTAATGCCCAAGCCCGAAGTCAGACTCGCAACGCGCAACCGATGCTCGACGCAGGGCCCGCTCCCAAGCCCGTACCCGCGCCCGCGCGCCGCCCGAAGTCGAGCCCCGACGCGCTGCGCGCCCCGTTCCAATGCCCAACGATGCAATGCCCCCCGCGCCTGCGCACCGCCCAGGCTAGCTACAAGTGCTCGTCAACGCAGACCCCAACGCAAACCCAAGCGGGTGCCCAGCCTAATTGCAGCAATACTGATCATCCTGGCGCATGCCTGTTCTGCGCAGAAATAGCTATAAACTGGCCGCCATCTTCGCGCGCGGGACATTCGCTCGCAGATGCGCGCGGCGCCTTGCCACCACACCAGCAGTGCCAAACCTCGTGGGCGACTGACTTACTGGCCAAGTAGCAGGGCGGTCCGCGCAGACCCTGCGCGCCCAGGGACGCGCGCGTCAACCCGCGCGGCGTGCTTCGGCAGAACTGGCGGCCAACCATCACGCGCTAGTTGGTCAAGCCAGGCCTGCCGGCGCGCGCTGGCGTTGCAGCTGCGCGCCCGCGGCGACCGCGGCGCTCCGCGGTTGCGACGCGGCTCGCGTCGCGGGGGGGGGGCGGTGAGATGGGCGCCCACTATTGCGGCCCAGTCGCTCCCATTCGCGTTTGGCGTTTGGCGTTGACGCGCGCTGCGGCGCAAACTCCCGCGCCGCGGCGGCAGGGGCCAGAGCGGCGCTGTCTTGGCGCGCGACGCGCGCGCGTTCGAACGCAGCCCGCGCGACGCGCGATCGCGGCGTCGTCTGTGCCAGCGCAGTCGTAGTTGGAGGGCGATGCAGAAGGTTTGCCGTCGCGCCACGCGGGCGCATCTGGGCGCCTGGATCGTCGCGGCCTCGTGGGGCCCGCGTCTGCGGCCCGAGCGTCGCGCGCCGGGTGGGCGTCTTGTGTGCATGCAGGGGTTCCGACGGCTTTGCAGGTGTATTTCTGGGGTATCTGCAAGGGCTTCGGGCGTTTTCTCCAGGGCCTCAGGGCGGCGCCCGCCCCTGGGGCCCGAGCGGCGCGTGGGGGGGGCAGAGCGTCGGAGGTGCATGCAGGGGCTCCGAAGTTGATGCGCTGATGCATCGGCGGCCTGCAGAATTTCCAGGCACCTTCGCCAGGGGCCACGGCGGGGCCAGCGCATGGGGCCCGATCGTCGCGCGCCAGGTGGGCGTCGGGGCTGCGTGCGCGCGCCCAGAAGCTCCTGCGCGCGTGCCTCGGGGGTGCTCACGGGCGCGCATCGTCGCATCCAGTGTCGCGGCGTGGCGGGCATGGGCAAAGCCATTTGGCACGTGTGACTGGGTGCCTGGGCGGGGGGTCGGACTGAAAATAGGGCGCGCCTTGGGGGGGGGGGCGGGGCGCCGCGGCCGAAATCAACAATGACGACATTATAACAATGACCAGCAAATGATCGGTCGCTTCTAGCGAAACTACCGAAACCATATGTTAATTTTTAGGAAGCGCGGGGGGGG